ACATAAAAAGACAGAATAATGACCTTTTTAGGCGTGTAAGATCTCAAAAAATTGCTATATTGAATACTTTTTTTCATCAAGATACTAAAAGATGTCCTCCATCAAAGTGAAGGAGCAAACCAAGAAAAAAATAAGAGATGGCATATAGGAGACTGGGCAGCTTATTCAGGAGAACATGCAGAGGGGATTTGCAGGATGATGGTGGAGGAAAGTCTCAGGCGGGCAGTCAAGCAGCAGATGGGGCAGGGTGTGAGGTGGCTTCCAAAGAGAAGGCTCTGGTAAAAATGAAACTGGCGTGTGAAAAATCATTAAGAGGACGGGCTTGGGAATAAGAATTAGGTACATGGAAAACAGTGCAAAAAAAAAAAATTTTTTAAATTTAGGAAAAATCAACAAGTTGTCTAAGAAGGAAATGTGATCTTAGTAAGCTATTTGGAACAACTTTGAACAGAATTCATAGAGAGATAATGGAAACATTTAATATTGATTTAAAAAGTATGATTTAACTATTTTGGAAAGTTGGGGGTAAGGGAAAGGATAATGGTTAGGAGATGGTAGTTTGTGAAAAGCCAAACTTCATCTTCCACAATATTGGTAGAGACCAAGTAGCCGAGGTCTAAATTTTGGTAAATCAAGAAATTGTAGTATTAGCGTATTATTTTGTAATATGGTAGTAAATGCTGGAAAAATTAGCTAAAAAATTGCAAATGGTCGCCTCTCAGACCCAGACTTGGGTGTGAGCGAGAGGAATCCCATTCTTCAAAATGAGCTTTTCTATACTGTTTGAGTTATTAATCTGTGTGCATGTTATTATTGCCCTGTTAAATATGAACTCAGCTTGGGTTCATGTTGATGGACTGCCCTTCTATTGGCCATATTAAAATATTCTGAATTAAAGTACAGTGCCATCTTGTGTAATAATTTAACAGTTCTATCTAAGCAGACGTATTTTGCAGATGGATCCAAGGGATTTAATTTTTGAAATAAACATAGGACCCTACATGAAGGCATTTCATCTTAATGTGGGGCTGGTGGTATGATGCTAAAGGACAGCATTATAATGGGGTTTGAAGACATAGTCTTCATGATTACTGCATACATATTCACATACTCACACACACACATTTACACAAACAAGTTATGAAGCTTCCTTTCTTTAGAAAATAATTACCAGTGTATTCTAGTCTTCTGATCATTATAATGTTAGACTTATTGGTATAGCTTTTTATCAACTTTTTCTTGGCATTAGGAAATATCATTAAAGTGGGAATTTTTCGGATAACAAAATGAAGAATTAGTTTTCTTGCCAAGTTTGCATTCATAGCAATGTTACTCTAATTGTAACAATGTATAAACATTAGAGCTATGATATATTCTGGTTAATCAAACAGATGTTGCATTATCTAATTTTGTACCTAAAAAAGCCAGGCATTAAAAAAAGATATAATGAAAGCAGAATTAATGATTTATCCTAATGCTTCACTGACTTAGAAGATGACTAATATCTACCTAAGATGTAAAAATGTAGTCATAAAAGAAGTTTATAAAAAGCCAAGTGTTACACCAAGATTTCTATACGAGATGGAAGACCCAGTGCTGAAAAGCTTTATATTAAGTAGGTGGTGGTTGGCTCTATAAAGTTTTTTCATTTCTAATTTTTTTATGTTTTCTCCTCCTCCTCCTTTTTCTCTTCCCTCCCCCCTCCTCCTGTAGCATCATTGTTACCATGTAACACTTTAGATAAAGTGATTCATCATTAAATACTTTAATTCATTGTTTTAGTGTTAAACTTTGAAACAACTTCTTTCTTTAAGCATTGCTTTTGGTATTCTGTGGTTTTCAGGTTTCTTTTTCCTCTGAAAAATGTATTGAAAAGATTATTTGTATTTGTGTACCGGAAGGCTAATGATGTTTACACCAATATGTTGAGAGTATTTACTACCCAAAGTAATTTTATTTTATGTCCTATATATGTTTATAATATCACAATGGTAGTAAGGAAAAATGGAGTTTAGAATCAGATTTCAAATGCAGACTGAAATATATTTGTTGAAAAGCAGAAACTATGAATATTGTAACAATGAGTACATATGTATATGCCATTTAAAGGGAAGCCAGAGCATATGTGTTCATATATATGTTGTCACACAAGTTCGTTTATCTTCATCTATCTTTTCATGTGAGAGTAAATCATTGAAGAGGCTCTCAGCTGCCAAGTTACTTAAAGGACCTTCCCAGATAAAATAATAGAGCTTGTGTCAGTTTCATCACCAGTTTGAAGCTGTGCTAAAACTGTGTTCCCTTATATTTTACTAGTCTTTAATAAAAGAAACAAATTGATAGTTGATATGGCAGTTTTTCTGTTTTAAGAAATCAAATGCTTGATTATGTTTTATAGGGTGTATCTTCAGTATTCAGTGCTACTCATAACTTTCTGGTTTATTATTTGTCATTAAATCTTGAGCTTTTCATTTTAAAAGTGCTTTTTTTTCCTTCTAGTTTTCTGTTGCTGATTTTTCTATATTTGGACAATTGTAAAAGCTAGAGCAGAGTGAAATTTCAATATTCTCAATGAATTATGAAAGTATTTCTAGATTCTGCAGTTATACTTGTGTGAGGTGGGCTAAAGGAATTATTTTTTGGTGCCAATGGGAAGGTTTTTAAAGCATAGTAAATCTGATTTCTTGATTTCTACTATAATATTTTTCTTGATTTTCAGTGCCCACAGAATTTATTAAAGGACAAATGTAAATGGCTTTTTTCTCATAAAATATCATTTAAACATGATTTGAAAAATATTATCTATTTTTTTTCTCTTTAAAAATAAAGTTACACATGTTGAACATTATTCTATTAGGATATATTATGCTTACTCTATCAGTTTTACCAGAAACATTTCTAGTTTTCTTTTAGATTTTTGCCTTATAGAAAACATCTCTGGTTTAATCTTACTACTTATCCTACCTAGCTAGGGTAGTTATCATTTCACTGCTGAATTTTATTCATTTATATTGAATTTCCTCACCCTCTTTTTCTGGTGTCCTTTACGAATTGAGGGTGAAATCAGGCAGAGTTAATATGACCTTTCCAGGGACAAAATAATTTCTCTGTTTTTAAGTGAAATTATAGAAAATTCCAACTGTTGGAAGCCACCAGAGGTACTTTCTCAACACTTTTGGTGTCATGAAAGCTACAATGTGAAAATTTATTCCTTGCCATCGAGGCTTACCAACTTTTGTTTTGACTTATAATAACTGAATTTGTAATTAAAAGTGTTAATAAGAAACAAAAAATAAAATTATTCAATGGAATGAAGGAATACTTGGTATTTCTTTGCAAGATGAGTTTACAATGGAGTTTTTAGATCGTATGAAATATACAATTAAGAGCAGGTCTACTCCTTGCATAAGTATAGCATTATAAAATAATGAATTATAAAATATAATTGTAATTTTATTGAAATATAAAATTATGAAATAATTGTAATTTTGTAAGGAACAAAATAGGTCTTTGCAATGAAACAAATTAAAATTCCACTGATGAAACTTTCATGTGTACAAGATGTGCTTCTTAGAGTCTATGGAACTGGATTTTCTTTTTGATTACTGTTGATGGACTTCTTTTAGTTCTACTGTTTGCCTCACACGTGCCTGATTGACATTATAATGCATTCGTGTGGAAATTATGAAAAAGTTGTTTTCATGCAGCTGTCCTATAGTTACAAAAGAACTTCACTGCATGAAAACCAAACATATCATTCAGCAGACAATGCTTAATCTGTTCAGGAGCCCAGACCTATTGCTGTTCAATGACAGAAGAAAGGAGAGGGATTAATTTGAAGATGCTTGTGCATGACATATGGTAATTTCTCCATAGGAAGGAAGTGTCAGATGGTGACCTCTAAATCTTAACATTGACCTCCAGTTGTAGAATGTGTGTGCCATACGGTCCTTTTGCCTTTTCATGTGATAATTTAAGCTGAAACATTTTCTTGGTAACATAACTTTTTTTTTGGTTTGGTGGATTTATTCTATAAGAATTGTAAAACTCACAATAATTATTTTTAGAATATAAAGCATTTGTGTCATAAAAATATTTTTTGAATTCCAAATAATGAAGCTATGTTAGGATTCTTCTAACAAGAGCTAAGCATACTATATATATTCTTTACAAATTGGTGTATTTTAAATTTAATTTTTATAAAATTAATGTGAAAAATTGAAATCATCTCAGCAGATATTTAAACATAATTTACATATAATGTTAGAAAATCATTAGGAAAATGTAACTGACAGTATGAAGACCAACACAAACTTTTTCATTATGTGATACATTTTTTTAATTGAATTATATGTTTGCTAATTGTTAATATGTTTGTTGTCTTTTTTTTTGTAGCTTTAGTTGTCTTAGAGTTATGTTTTGCATTAGTTGACACATCATTCAGTGATAATATTAAATAGATTTTGGCTTTAAGAGAAATTTGAACTATATTTTAATTGCTATTCAGTAAATACAGGCAGTCCCCGGGTTCTGAACAAGATCTGTTCCTAAATGTGTCTTTAAATCTTTAAGGCTGATTTGTAGGTAAGTTGGAACAGGTACTTACGGTTCTTATTTAGCCTTACTTTAGCACAAGACAAGGATCGAAGCCTTTTCAATAATTTAAAAGCTGCATGTGCAGCAAGTGAAGGTGATTGTGATGAAGAATTTGTTGCTAGTAGGGATTGGTTCAATCATTTCACCACATGGGCATATTTACATAACATTAAAGGGCAAGTATGAGTTGTTGGACGTTTGTAACCCAGGGACTGCCTGTATATCATTTCCCTGCTGTATTCCTTAATGATCATGCCCTTCTGTTTAAAAACATCATTTTTCAGTTCCACCTTCACTATATTTTGCCAATTTTGTTTTTCATTCTTCACTAATACTGAGCTTTTTTTCAGAAACTGCTGTACCTCAATTCTCTCCTCTTTATTTCTTCTATTTTCCTCTGCAAGTTGCTGCACCTGTCGTTTCCTCTCGGTCTGATGCTGATCACTCTGGCTCTGACCCTGCTTCTACTCCTGCTTTACATACCTGTTTCTTAGTAAATGAAGGTATTCTCTCTCAACTTTCTAACAACTTTCTTTCAATCTGTGCTTTATTCTAATATGACGTTCTTTTTATCTAATTTATACATTCATCTGCTTTGTTATGTATGAGATCCTCAAGTTCCCCTTTTATAACTTTATTTGCTGATGTCAATGAGAAGGACCAGTTGTAAAATGTACTGTTACTCCTGGCTTGTATAAACCATGTTTCCTCTAATCCAGAATGCTGTTAAAAATCTAGTACAAAGATGCTAATTATTGATGTGAAGTAGTTATTACAAGGTGGATGAGTTTTCATGATGATGTTTACCATGTGACCTCTGGTGCTAGAGCTGGCGAATTTATTTTACATGTGTCATTACTCTGTGACACACACACTCTGCTCTCTTTATGCATTGTGTATCCTAGTTGGTGGGGGATATTGAGAGTCCTCTTGATATACATCCTCATTTTAAAGGTCCTCAGAATGATGATTGGCACCAGTGATTATATACTGATAGGAATTAACCTATTTATCCTCCTTACTATTTCAGTTTCTGGCTAAAGAAAATATCTGTCATTTCGATTTTTAAAATGTAGTTAGGCTGCCATGTTACCCCTGTGGAATGATGCGAGTGGAAAGCAAAAATACTTTTTTGGAGGTCTGAGAATGTGTATGAGGTCTAAAAACCTTTATTCCCCAAGAGCCATCTTGGATTATTTATACTACCTGGAAGCTTAATGGAATTCGTGAGCTCCGAGTTGTATCCAATCTCTGTCTTCTTTGTGTTCTCAGTCTTCACCAGTTTGTATAAAAAGCAGAAAATTTATAAAATCTCAAATAATCCAGAATGACTTTGACTTTCCGCTGAAAAGTAATATTACAAGTCCACCCAAACAGAAGGGATGTTACAGCATCTGTAAAGCACAGTGCTGAGCTTGCAAGTACCGCTCCTTTGGAAAGAAAGCAGGGGAGCTTAAAAGTATAACTTAATTTTTGTTTGGTTTCCCTGTCACAGACCTGAACTAAGGTTTGTATGATGAGACTGGATTTTAGCAAATTAATTAGGGTCATATTTATTAAGCTATTGTGAAAGAGTCATTCATTAATTCAGAATAAGCTATTAGACTTTGGACCTTGATGAGAATCATTATTATAGTAAAATTCTGCTCATAAATATACTTCATACTTTAATGAGACATTAAAATACTTTTTAAAAATTACTAAATTAATAAATGGTGATTGAACATATATATATAAAGACCTCTTGAAAATAAATTATGATTTAAAAGTATGTGTTCATCACCTTAATTAATGTAATTAATTATTTACTATCAATTGAAAATGCCCTCACTGAAAGGATGTATCTTTAGATAGGTGGTTTGTCTGTCTCTCTTCTTCTCTTTTCAAAAATCTCAATGCTCATTTTGAGTTTTATGGTAGGATTTTTGTTGTTATTGTTTTAGAAGATTGTGGTTTAGATTATTTTAAAACATTGATTTGTTAAAATTATGAGATCACAGATAACTCACCTTGTAATGGTAGTGGGCATTTTTGTACCCATCCTTCATTATTTTTCTTTAAATGTTATCCCCAGGAAGTGGTAGTAATTATTGTGGATTAATAGTGACCTCATACGTAATTTGGGAAGAATGAGTCATTTATTGTGTATATATTTTTCAAATACCTTTAAAATGGGGTTGAAATGATTACTTGAGGATGTCTGTATATTAGTACTTTTAAATATTAAAGTGGTTTACCATGGGGTTTTTTTTGTTTGTTTGCTTTTTCTTTTTTCATATAATCAAGTTCCATATTTTGGATTAGAATTTTGGAAAAAGCAATTTTTATTCCCATAGAGTTAATGAAGTATAAAATTTTGTAAGTTTGTATTGTCAAGTTTTTGTTTAGGGGAATTTTGAATTCTTTTCATTTCATAATCGGTGTTATATAACTTGTTTCAGCTATGATTGTGATTAAATATCTGATTCATTTTGTAAGAAAAGGGATCAATAAATACCTCTAACAGAGAAAAAGGATGGCATCTCTTTTGGCTGACAGGATGGTAACACATACAGGGCCATGTCTTAAGTGATATCTTTGGATATCTTTGTGAATCCCCTTTTAATGGAGAGTGGCTTCAAGTCTATAGCTCTAGTACATGTTTATTTCTATGCGTTCCTTTTCTTTATATATATATATATTTTTAAAGAAGGGCTATTTAGAAATGTGTTTTCCTTGTAGTTTTCTGATATATGTTATGTGGAAATTAATTTTTATTTGCTTTAAGACTTTGAGAGTTCTTCTAGGTATCAGCTACATGATTTGGGGGTGAATACATTTAGTATAATTCTTTGTACAAAATGTCTAATAATAAATTGAAATCATTTATGACATAATTTAGTGGATCTGTCTTTTTTCCCTCGGTATACTTACATAAAGAAAACGCTTTGAATTAGGGAATGCCAAAAAATGTTTAAATTATCTGAAATATATTACGTTTTTAACAGGATGGAGTCAGTTGGCTGCTATGCATTGTGTTATGCTGCCAGACCTGCTGGGATTGGACAAATTTAGGCCTCCACTTCTAGAGATGCTGGCTCGGAGATGGCAAGATAGATGCTTGGAGGTAATGGCGAGATGATATGGATAGAGAACAAAAAACATTAAAATGTGAATTGTTAAAACGAAGTTTCAGTTAAAATGCAAATTTTAAACAAATATGGTTAATTTTATCTAATTTATGTTATCTTCTGTTTACTGTGGGATAGAAAATATGGATTAGTGATTTCCATGGTTTTCTTTTTTAAGTTATATACTAGACAATCATGTTTCAGCTTGCTTATTCATTTATTCCTTTTTTGATCCAGGGGCTATTTGATAAAAATAATTTCATACACTTCAATGGAATTGTTTCTTAAGTATTTCTATACATATCGTATACACATTTGCACACACACGTATTCACGCATACATACACTCACCTCCCTGAAATCACATATACAGGTATAATCACATCAGTCAAATTCTAAGTGACTATCGCAAAGTGCTATATTATTGTGGAAGTAGGAGGTCTTTGAATTTAGAAGAGACCTGGGTTTAAATATCACTTCCACCAATTATTAACTTTGTGACCCTGGACAATTTCTTTAATCTATTTGAGGCTCATTTGTAAAGTAGGGATAATAATATATTCCTCATGGGAATGCTTTCAGGATCAAATAAGTTAATACAAGTAAAACAATAAGTCAGAGCCTGACACATGGTAGGAGCTCAGTCAGTGTTAGCTATTATTTAGCGTTAAAGCACTTATGCTGTATTAGGTATTGCTGGGAATATAATATCACCCAGGACTTGGAAATATCTTATAGAAATTTTCCTTATTGTAGCTCTTAACTTACATAGCTGTTTCAGATTTTTAAATTTACCAAATATAAGTAACTTATAATTTACCAAGCTTTTAATTTACCAAATATAAGTAACACTTATATATTTGGTAAATTATAAAAATAACATTTATATTTGTCCCTTTCCTAGTCTCTCTTACCTCAATTACAAGTGGGATTGTAACATACTAAAATTTTCATGATTTTTGCATTGGATAATATTCATTTCACCCCAAAAGTCGTTTGTACTTAAACAACTTTGTACTTCAACTTTTATTCAGCTTCTGCTGAGTTGTTTTCAATTATAAATAGTTAATAAACTAATTGGTATATCATTTGATAATTGACTGGCTTCTTTGACTACATGTCTATGGCACTTTTGCCAAAAAAATAAAATAAACCGGCAAAATATAAGTTGTATGCCACATTGAAAGAAAAATTGAGGTAATATAATTTGCACAAATTGTTTTCTTCTATAGGACAAAAAAGATTATGCCATTACACATGAATATATTTGCTCATTTGTTGAAAACAAATTGTCTAAGCATATCTTAAGTATGCATGAATTATAAGTGTGGGTTCATACATATGTTTGTGTGAACAGCATCTATTTGGCATATATAATTTTTACAATTCACCAGATAAGGCTAAAAAAATTACTAGATAAAAAATTCACTAGATATGGCTGAAAGAGATAACAAATTTAATAGTTCCAGCAATGACTTAACAATACTATTTATATGGAAAATTAAAATGAAAAATACTTCGTTAGAATACAAGAATGTTTTAAAAGTTTTGGAAAATCAAGTTTTAAACCGAAATTTGATTAACTATTCAAACAGTCCTGTGCACTAGTATTAAAATATTTTCCTGTGAGATCATTAATTAAAATGTTGATAATTTGCTATTATCCCTTTTTTTCCACTTTTAGTGCTTAATTCATTATTTGGCTAGTAGTTTTTCTTATGTAATAAAATATGGCTTTTATATCTGCTAGTTTTAATTCATTATGCACTTTCTAGTTTGTAACAGGATCCCTGGTGGTGCAGTAGTTAAGAGCTTTGCTGCTAACCAAAAGGTTGGCAGTTTGAATCCACCACCTGCTCCTTGGAAACCCTATGGGGCAGTTCTACTCTGTTCTATAGGGTCACTATGAGTTGGAATTGACTCGACGCACCTAACGACAGACGACGACAGTTTATAATAAATACTACCTCACCAATGGATATGTCTTCTTTTCTTACATTTGAATCTGTGGCTGTCTTAGGTCAGAGAAGCTGCACAGGCCCTGCTTCTAGCAGAACTGAGAAGAATTGAGCAGGCAGGACGGAAGGAAACCATTGATGCCTGGGCTCCTTATTTACCTCAGTACATGGACCACGTCATATCACGTAAGAGTTCATATGCTTTTGCACAAAGCATTGCATGCTTGTTTAGAAAAAGTACCAAAAGTCCCAAATAAGCTTGCTGCTACCTATCAACAAAAATGAGTAGTCCCCAACTTATGATGGGGTTCTGTTCCAACGACTCTGTCATAAGTCAGTTCTAACATAAGTTGAATACCTCATTTTTTTTTTAATTTTCTTTTTATCAGTATCTTTATAAATCCAATCTTTATTTGTCTTTGAGGATTGGAAACATTCCATGTAAACTTAAAGATATGATGACATCAGCAAATTATGCAGGTGGGACATTGTAGTGCATATTACTAACAACAAGATGTACAAAAAAAACCAAAACAGATAGTTGTAAGTGTAGTTTGTTGTAACTTGAATTCATGTCGTAAGTCAGGGACTATCTGTACTTTACCTTATTGTGAAAACAAGGGATCCTCAGATTCTGGTTGTTCATTTTCTGAATCCCTAAAGCTTGGAGTTTGGTAAGGAAGCAAAAGTTATCTAATACCAAAATATTCACTAACAGACTTATAAAATTAATCCCCAAATATCCTACCTTGTTTAACACTAGCATCTGTCTCTGCCCATTGGATTACTATGCTTATGGGTGCTAACTTGTTAGATATTGATCTGATAATATGCAGGTACAAATATCAGGCAAATCCCTTGCAAGTCAAATTGTGAATGGTGAATCCTTGAAAAATAAAGAGCTGGTAGAGTTAGACCAGTGTACTATTGAAAAAGAGAAAATTAGCAAAGATTTTGACTGACAGGTCTTTCACAAGAATATATTTTGAATGGATTGGGAAAGGCCTTGGGGAAAGTTGTTGACGTTTTTAAATATTTTTTTGCAAAAATGGCATACTTTGCAATCATACTGCAAGTCAAAATGCTCACTGAGAAAAAGATATTGTGACATCATTTTTTTTTTTTGAGAAGAAGCATGTTTTACCCTCAATTCATTTGATTCATTCTTTGTGCTTCTAAAAAAGAATTCATAATTATAATTTAGCATAAATTTTATTGATTATAAGATAAAATAAGTTCCACTTTTTAAAAATAAAATCTCAATCAAACTTGTAAAAAACTTTTTACTATGAAAATTTGTCCTTGGTTTTAGGTGGATTTATTTTAACAACCTCTTGCCAATACCAGTTATCCTTAGTAACAAGATACTCACTACATCAAGAGAGACAGTACATGATATTCATGAAGGAAAATGAAGAAAAAAAAATCAAGAAGGGTTAGGAGAAGACTGTTATAACTAGTCTAACTCTACCAGATCTCTGTCAGTGGTGACTGTACCAGTTGCTGTCAAGTCGACTTCAACCATTGAGACTCCATGTGTGTCAGAGTAGAACTGTGCTCCATAGGGTTTTCAGGGTCTGATTTTTGGAAATAGATTGCTGGGCCGTTCTTCCGTAGTGCCTCTGGATAATTGTTTAATGTTTAGCTGTGTGATTTGGGCACTTTACTTAACCCTTCTGAGCCTCACATTTGTCACAGATAAAGATGATAGTAGTATTTTCTAGTGTTATTATGAGTATGGAATGAGGCCATCTTTGTTAAGCATGTAGAACAGCGTGTAGCCCATAGTAAGCGTTACATATTTGTTAAATAAATATATTCATAATCTATAAAAATACAAACATATTTTACATATAGTCAAAACATCATACATTAACAACTTAATATTCTTTAATCTGTTTGGGTAGCAGTATATACTGAGTATTGGGTTTCATTTGCTTACTGGGAATGTTATCATTTTAATAACAGGAAATTAAGTTAACAGATCAGAGCTTATAGACATATGGACTCTATATAAGGTGTCAGGCTTAAAGTTCTTAATTAAATATGTATAGATTTTAAAAATAAATTTCCAGAAAAAAAAATTAACAAAAAAAGATTGGAATGAAAAGAGTTCTGCTTTTGAGTATTTAATAGTCTGGGATCGTGCTATTTTTTCAGTTACTTGTGACCATTAACATCATAATATTCCAGCAAATAGAATTAGCTACCAGCTAATCATAAACCTTATTCAATGAAAATCCTCAAATTTAAGGACAAACTGTGAGCATAGCACTGTATCTTGAGGCTTAAAAGAAAAATAGATAATGACATACAATTACAAAGCAGTTACACCCTAGGTGGAGACATGTAACGTTGCTAATGAAGTAGCGGGAGAACAAATACAAGGAATCAGACAGTCTAAATGGTGTATCAGGTGGTGAAGTGGTATAAAATAAGAGCATGATCTCCAAAGGTAGAGTTGTTTGAAGATGAAACTAGACAATAGCAAACCACTGGACATTCTTCTAAAAGGAGCATGCCATTATGGAAATATTAAGAAATATTTTCAAGACGTCTTTATTTAGAATGTACTAATGTAGATTGGGAACCCTGGTGGCACGGTAGTTAAGAGCTCGGCTACTAACCAAAAGGTTGGCAGTTTGAATCCACCGTCCACTCCTTGGAAACCCTATGGGACAGTTCTACTCTGTCCTATAGGGTGTCTATGAGTTGGAATCAACTTGATGGCAGTGGGTTGATTGGAGTGTAGAGTAGGGGATGGATCAAAGCAGAAGAAGTAGCTAGGAGGCTGTTATAAAAGGGGATATGAGACCCAGACCTAAATGTAGATAATTTAATTAAATTAAATTAAAGATAATTTCCAAGCCTTGGTTATAGATTGCATATGAAGGACTAAGGGAAATACCAAAGAATTGTTCAGTGTTGTATTCTTGACAGTTTGGAAAGAGAGGTGCCATTAGCATTTTGAGTAGATACCATTTTGTTTTTTTCCTGGAAAGAAGAGAAATGAGCTAGCTTTAAGATAAAGGCATAATATAGCTACAGATTACTCCCTGAAGCAATGATAAAAATGCATATGTTACTAGACTTAGTGAGAGTATTGAGGTCTGTTATCAGGTCCAGAGAGAGACAATATACCCTAAGTAAAACAAAACAGAATTGTCATTGAGTCGATTCCTACTCATGTTGACCCTATAGGACAGAGTAGAACTGCCCCATAGGGTTTCCAAGACTGTAAATCTTTATGGAAGCAGATTGCCACATCTTTCTCCCATAGAGTGGCTAGTGGGTTCAAACTGCCCACCTTTCGGTTAGCAGCCAAGCGCTTTAACCACTGTGCCACCAGGGCTCCTACGATGTAAGTAATAACAGTGATAATACGTGCCATTAGTTGATCCTTTCTCTGTCGTATTTTAGGATGAGTACATGGTCTGTCTTATTTAATCATAACAATAACCCTGTAAAGTAGGTACTATTATCACCCCTCCCCCATTTTTTTTTTTTTTTTGCAGATGAGGTAACTGAGGCCAAGAGAGATTAAAAAACTTTCTGAAGCTTCCTCAGTTACTAAGTGACTGTTAGACTTCAAAACCTGTTCTGTTAACCACTATTTATTCTGTCCTGCACTCTTTGATCTTAAATGGGATGGGGTGGGGGTGGAGGAATGAGCAGATATGTGGCTTATCTAATACTGCTTTCAGACAGCACCCTTTCCAGCCATATCAAATTTAACAGCAACAACAAAAGGGGCAGAAAAATAACTTTTAGAAAATTAGTCTTTGATGGTCTCATTGTAGTTTAAATAAGCATAAACTAGATTGTTCTTAGGTCAAATTTAAACCCTTCTGTTTATGTAATTAAAGCCCTTTATATATATATATATATTTAGTGTTTTTAAGCAATGATTTAATGTTTTACTAATGAAATCCTACAGGCTTATAGGAAAGCACTATGAATTGCAAGTGAGGATGCCCCTGGACTTTCTCCACCACCCCCTTTTTTTTTTTAAATTTTTTTACTGTACTTCAGGTGAAGGTTTACAGAACAAATAGGTTCTCATGAAACAGTAGTACACATATTGTTTTATGACATTGGTTAACAACCCCACAACATGTCAACCCACTCCCTTCTCAACCTTTTTTTTTTGGTGAAAATATACATAGCCAAAGATACAGCATTTCAAAAATTTCTACATGCACAGTTCAGTGACATTGACTACGCTCTTAACAATTGTGCTGCTATTTTCACTTTAGATGAAGGTTTACAGAACAAAATAGTTTCTCATTAACCAGTTAGTACACATGTTGCCCTATGACAATGGTTAACAACTTCACAACATATCAACACTATCCTTACTCAACCTTGGGTTCCCTATCACCAGCTTTCCTGTCCCCTTCTGCCTTCTAGTCCTTGTCACTGGACGGCTGTGCCTCATTAGTCCCATTTGGTTTTATGAGGCTGTCCAGTCCCCAAAAGCCCTTAATATTTAGTTATAGTATCATGGAGTACTTTATGAATTAACTGAAGGTTGACTTGCTTAAAATTTTAATCTTGTCACTGTCTGTAGTTGTATATTTCATAGGAAAAGAATAAATAAGCAAACATCTATAACTGAAACGTCACGTACTAACAACCTGTGGTATAATACATTAATGTATTCTGGAATCTTTATACTGACTGAGTGTAAAATTAGTTTTAGTTTGCTTTACTCAGAGCTTTCTGTTTTAATAAAAGGATGTCAAGCTAAAGGAGTTGGGATTCTGAACATATGAAAGGAGAAGAAAGCAGACCACAAATGGGGAATGACCACATAGGGCTGTTGAACAGATTTGCTGTCCGAAAGGATCAAAAGGTTATGGAGCCAGCTGGTGGACAGTCCACACCTGCCGTCCACGTGCTTCTGGTGAAACCACCTCTACTGTTGTCATTAATGTTTGAGGAGTTATTGTAGCAAGTTGCAGCATATAGCATCATTTTAAAAGCTATTCTAGCATAGGAATTTTCTTTTATCACTGAAGTAGGCAAAATATTAAAATTATTAAACAATATACCTGGTAAGTACACCATTTCTCAGATATTTTCTTATAATTAATCATCCTAAGCTTTTTAAAATATACAATAATTGCCTAAGCAATATTGGCAGCTCCTAACTTATGACTGAACTTTGTGCTAAGAGTCTTCTT